CTATAGTCACATTATCAACTTTGCGCTATGTTTATTTCCAACTGATCTAACCAGTCAATTGAGTTTTCAGGTTGATTAAGTTTGTGTTAACATGTTCATTTTTGATCTCTTGTGTAACTACTAAAGTCATATCCTGCTGCATCACACGCTGATTTTATATAGAATTACTCAAATTCTCGAAATCTGCTGTTTTAACTTATAAACTGATTTTCTTGGTAAATTCTGTTTGAATTTAGCAATGCCTTGACTAATTGAGAATCAAACCGTTCAGTTTAAAATTTAAACAAAGCCTGGCAATTAACTGTAGTCATCAGCTAACTTAGGCATCCTTCAAGCCTGAACCTTTACTTAAACAAATTTCTATCAGCCTGAATTAATTCTGGTTCCCCTGGAATATGAAGATAACCACATCACCACCCCCCCACCCCTGGCTCCCTTCCTGCACTAACCCACAGGTTCTTTTCTTTGTCTCCTTAAACCCATCTCGCCTGCCTTCTAAAAGCTCCATCTTGAACAGATGTGAAGGGTCCATTTATTGCTTTGTCAGTGAGATTAAAACCAGTCATTCAACTATCTCTGCCATGTTTTCCCCTTTTCCTTTCCCACCCAATAAACTGCCCCTCAATGTCATCCACCTAAGACCTGAACCCATAGCTTTCCTTAATTTCCCCCTTATTCCTGCTCATACCGTTTCCAAGATCATCTTACCATTAAGACCCACCTCCTGCCCTTTCATGCCATTCCCACTCAACAACTAACTAACCAAATACCCTTCCTGATCCCCATGCTGGCTGGTTCTCTCTCATTAGGATTTGTCCTCATCTTTGTCATTCCCTCCACTTCAAAAAGCCCAGCTTGTGTTCCTGCAGACAACATCTCATCTCCAATCCCTAACATTCTTTTTTCTCTCTCCAAAGTTCTTGAACATCTTCATTGCTGCCTCTTCACACAGTGCTCCTCCAAGTATATTTCTGTGCCTATGACAGCTCAATGACACTAACCAAAGTAGGGAAATCAAATACATACCGATTTTCCAGGAGAGGAAGGCTTAAAAGGTATTTCTATCTTTTTCCCTGGGGGTACCTCCTTTATTGGAGGCAAAATTTTTTCACTCCTGTAGGGGTTACTATCAAAGTATTCCTTAGGGTAAAGGTTCAAACGAAATGGTCCTCCAAGGAGTTGTTCTTTCTGTAATGGTACCACAGTGACATTACTTTATAGAAATGGAACCAAAGAACCAAAGATTTAATATTCAGCTCAAACATGAGCATGAGCATGTTGGGGTTAAGTAAAATACAATAAAAGCACATGAAGAACTTTAAAATAAAATGTAGATTTTACCATAAGTTGTTGGAACCTAACTTTGGATCTAGAAATCAATGAGCTTGGAATGACGCAGGATTGAAGATAATTTCATGACTAGAGATCATTCCCAGAGCAGGAATCAGCAACAATGAGGGGGTGACAGAGTTTGGGATAGGGAGGAGGGAGTTGGTAACAGTCAGAAGCTGACTGAAGTTTCAGTGGAAAGACTGGGACTCAAGGCAGGTGTCAGGATCTCCAAAGATGAGTGCCAAGTTGTACAAGTGCTACAATATCAGCTACTGCAGAAGGAAGGTAGTAGGTTTCAAGGCTGAGGAAACTCTCAAGCCATAACGTTTCAAACCAGACAAGGAGATGGTACCTGAAGTTAATGAAGTGATGAGAAAGGATCTACCTTCAATTACAGTGTTAAGGCTATGTTTTTCCCTGGAGCTGTACTAATTTTTGAACAAAAAATTGTAAACTTCTTCAAGAGAATAAGCTTTATTAAAAGCTGAAAAACTCAAAATAACATTTTGAAGAAAACAGTTTTGTCAGCCACGTTTTCATAATTGAAATATTGAACAGAATACAGCTACTGAGCCACAGTATTGGCTATAATGGAGGCAATGTAGTATCAAACTGTGCTGTGTGCATGATCAAGCCTCCTGCTCATGGCTCAGCGATGCTCTGGTAAGGGGGTCCAGGGTCAGATTTGATTATTATCGCAGCTCCAGGGCTAGAATAGAGGGGACGGGAGGTTTGGTGTTCCCAGTGAGGCTCTGAACTATTCAGGGATTCAGGAACTGCGGTGGAAGATTACGAGTCAGTACAGGAGGCTAGTGCCAGGGATCAGGAGCAGAGGCAGGAGAAGGAAGTGGGTTAAATATGGGATTGAGAGAAACACTCTATTCTCCTCCAGATTCATGTTCAAGTAAATAAATACAAAAGAAACTTAACCTTGCAGGTAATCCCAAAGTCTGGTTTTCCTTGTGACATGACTCAGGGCGAACTCTCAAGTGAGACATTCAGCTCCTTAGTCAAATATACAAAGTAATAAACACCTGCCTCAGGTGTTGAAAAAATGCCTCTTATTCACTTTTCCAAATAGAGCAGTTGGCTAATTTTTAACCAGGAATGTTCATGTTTTTCCTGCCTCCCTTATCAGGGTCTTATAGACCAGTTAATGCCCAAAAAGGGGATGCTGCAGAGTGTAGTTTATAAGACCAGTAAGTAATTAAGAGCATCAACTAAAGGCATTAATTGACGTAACTGAATTCATAAATGTTATCAAGTTATTATGAAATATATGTCCTGTGAAACTTCCAACTCTGCTGACACCCAAGAACAGGGCAGCACGGTGGCTCAGTGGTTAGCACTGCTGCCTCACTGTGCCAGGGATCCAGGTTTGATTTCACCTTCAGGCAACAGTCAGTGTTGAGTTTACATGTTTTCCCTAGACATGTGTGGGTTTCTTCCAGGTGCTCCAGTTTCCTCCCACTGTCCAAAGATGTGCAGGTTAGGTAGATCAGCCATGCTAAATTGCCCATAATGACCAGGGATATGTAGGTTAGGTGCGTTAGCCATGGGAAATGTAGGGCTACAGGGAAAAGGTAGGGGTGGTGGGCCTCGGTGGGATGCTCTTTGGAGAGTTGGTGTGGAACTGTTGGGCTGAATGGCCTGTTTCCACACTGTAGGGATTCTATATAAAAAAAGAGTAATGAAAAGATAGGGCGCACATAATAATGAATAGAATTGAATGGAAGAATGTACTGGTAAATGTAAGAATGTGTCAGCAAAGTAGAACTTAAACAAGATAAATTTTTAATTGGCTTTTTTATTGGCATGCACATGGCAAAGTCAAAAGGATCAGAGGTAGTAATGCGCAGTTGAGAATTATCAGCGGATTTTTGGCATCAACAAACATTTTGCTATATAAAATGTCATTTTTGATGTCAGAATTTTAAAAATCTTTTAAATAACAGCAGACAAAACGCATTATTCCTAAAGCTTTTTTCGAGTTAATCAAGTGCTTCATCAGTTTTTCTGAGATAAACTGGCCACGATTCATTGCGATGACAGTGTCCTCGCACACTGTTGGGAAGTCTGGGTCAGCCTGGCTCTGCTGGCAGGCATTACTATTTTTGATGCCAAGACAATTAGTCCCCTGCGCCCTGTCCCCAGGGACTGCTGTCTAATCGGACAGTCTGCAACACTGGGAACAGTGGCCACTGCTGTGACTACAGCCAGTCCCAAATCAAGCCAGCATTGGAATGCTGGAGAAGCTAGTGAGTTCACCAGGGACAGTCCAACAAGCCTCGCTGAGGAAGGACGGTGTGTTATCAAGTCAGGTTTGTAATTTCAGGTCAACACAGTCAAGGTTCAAAGGGGTCTTTTAATCAACCTGATCAGACATGTTGTGAGACACCTCTGGAGCAGGTGGGCCTTAAACCTAGCCTGCTGACCCAGAGGTAGGAGCATTACCACCACATCACAAGAACCCAGCATGAGAACTTTATATCAAGTCAGAATAACCACTAAGTCAGTCATCATAATGATATCAGCAAAAATGAAATGAACCAATTTACTTTGTAATGAAAATACTACAGATGTTTGAAGTCTGACATAAGAACATGCTGGAAGTACACAGCATTCTGGCAGCATCCATGGAAACAAAAAAAGAGTTAACATTTTGAGCTGAGTATGGCTTTCGTTAGTGCAATAGGTCGCAGAATTAGAGAAACTAGGAAAATGGAATTGAGTCTTCTAGGTTGTGAGGTAGGGTAGTCAATATACCTGTGGGAGTTAGTGGGCATATCATAAAAATCAGTGAAACGTCTACCTTCAGAAGTAGAAACAAAGGAGTCAAGGAAGGGAAATGTTGATGATAGACCATGTGAAGGTGAAGGGTGGACATTGGGAACAAATTTGATGATGTGTTCCAGGTCTGGATGACAGCAGGAGACAAAATTAATAGTTATTAATGTACTGGAGAAAGAGGTAGGGGGTGTGAGTAGGAATGGAATGAGTAATGTTTCTATATATCACACAAAAAAAAGCTTACTATTACCTAATCTGAAGAGTCATATTGATTTTGCAACTTAACTCTGTTCCTCTACCACACAGAGCGCTAAACCTGCTTAAGATATCTTTCTGTTTTACTTTTGTGGGTCATGGGAGCCATTGACAAGGCCAACATTTGTTGCCTATTCCTAATTGATCTCAATGGCTTGCTCAGTTATTTAAGAGGGCAGTTAAGAGTTGACCACATTGCTGCAGATCTGTCACACATTGGCCAGACTTTGTAAAATAAGGGGATTTCCTTCCTTAAATGACATCAGTGAGCCAGATGGGGCTTTGTGTCAATTGGCAGTATCTCCATTGTCACTAGCTATTTTTCTAGCACATTTTGTTTCTGTTAACTTGGGTCAGATATCTGAAAGTCACCTTTTCAAATACATCAGTTTAGCTGTGGGACACCCCTAAAGACACAGAAAATTCATAAATAGCACTGTTGTGACAATCATATTGTCCAACTTGCACAAACAGGTTTAAAAACTCAATTAACCTTCAGTTGTGACAGCCCTTAGAGCAAGGATTCCTGGTGGAGATCATGTTTGGTGTAGGCGCACAGCTTCCAAAGGCTGGAAATAAAACCAAAATATGGAATCTCATTTTTATCTTTGTATAGCCTCTGAAGGGACAGCTGCCTTCAGATGCGTAATATCACCCATATTCTATTCTATTTCAAACTAATCACAAAAGGCATGTCATAGTTTTGAGGTGGGAGCTGTTCAATGTGAAGTTTTCTAAATCTCACACCATTCTGTGCAAAGCCAACCATTAAATACTGTATTGTACACCAAAATTAAGCACTAAATTGATTCTCTATATATGTTTTATATAACCTATTAAAGAAATTTTGCCTTGTAATAACACTAATAACAGGTGTGTTATAGATTTATGCTTTATCAAGTGTTTATAATTTGTGACTCACAGCAAAGATGTATCACAATGAGGAAGAAGGGAACGGGATAAAGAGGTTAAGCATAGTATCAAATTGAAAGAAAAAATATACAACATGACAAAAATTCATGATAAAACAGAGGATTGAGAAATTTTTGAAAGCAACAATAGAAAACAACAAGGAAGAAAGTAATTTATGAAGATAAATTAGCAAATAATTCAAAAGTAGACAGTAAGAGTGTTTTTAAATATATAAAATTCAAGAATAAACAGTAAGAGTTTTTTTTTAATATGTATAAAAATGGAGAGGACAAAGTGTACATAGGCCCTTTACAGAATGGGGCTGGAGAAATAATAATGAGGAACCAGCAAATGGCAGACGAGTTGAATGATTATTTTACTTCATAGCAGAGAAAACTGATAGCATTCCAAAAATACTAAATAATCAAGGCACTAAGGTGGGTGGGAAACCAATGAATGACTATCACTAGAAAAATGAAAACTAATGGGGCCAAAGGCCACTACGTCCCCTAAATCTGATGAGTTTCATTTTTGGAGTTTAAAGGAAGTAGCTCCAGAAGTAGTGGATGCATTGATAGCAATCTTCTGGAACGTCTTTGATTCTGGAAAAGTCCCAGAGGACTGCCAACATAACACTTTCATTTAGAAAAGGAGGGAGACAAAGAAAATTGGTAACTATAGCTCAGTTAACATTAGACAGCATTTAGAAGTACAGAATATAATCAAGCAGAGTCAGCACAACATCTTGAGCCTGATAAATTTGTTAGAATTCTTTGAGGAAGTAACATGCAGCATAGATAAAGGGGAACCAGTAGATGGAATATATATCGATTTTGAGAAGTGTTGATAAAGTAGTCCACATAAAGTTGGGTAATAAGACACCATAGTGTTGGGGAGGT